AGATAGAGAGCACCACCACCACCACGGCCACCGCCACCGCCACCGCCACCGCCACCGCCACCGCCACCGCCACCGCCACCGCCACCGCCACCGCCACCGCCACCGCCACCGCCACCGCCACGGCCACCGCCACTGCCACCGCGACTGCGACTGCGACTGCTACTGCTGCTGCTGCTGCTACTACTGCTACTGCTACTGTTACTGCTACTGCTGCCGTTGCTGCTGCAGCACTAGCACCAACACTGGTACTAGTACTTGCTACTGGTGCACGGATGACGACGTCGCGACGGCGACGTCGACCACGACGCCGACGACCGCGGCAATGACATCGCACCCTTTTGAAGCAATCTCAATTGGGATCGTGAGAGGGTTTCAGTCCAGCGGTTGCAAAGATTGACTAACAGCTCAAGTGCCCCAACCTTACTCGGCAGTTTGTGGCACAAGTGCAGCTTTCCTTGTTTGCTTAGAAGCTTTGCGTGCCGCTTCCATGGCGCTTCACGCTTACATGAACAAGTTGCAGGAGTGGCGTTTGAGTTTGCCGAGTCTCAGGCCTCGGTTTGCCCCCACCCCATCCCACCCCCCCACGGAAACCAACAACCACTCCCGACATCATTTGAAACAGGAGGAGTCGCCAACGCCGACCATCAACTTCACGAACCTCAAATCCTTGGAGAAGAAAGGGTCCTTTGTGCTGTCTTCGCCATGTTCCACGCCCACGACAGCCAGCCCGGGCATTTCACCGGTTTCATCGAGAACAACAAGTCCCCTCGCCTTGGATACAACAGATGAGGACTCAACCTTCCACTTCGAATCTCCAGAGGCATCCGGCGGGGCATCCAGTTGGTTCACTTTGGCGATGAAGAAGCTTCTTCGGGTCTCATGCTGCTCCAGGCGCAGAGGATCTCTGGAGGGTGCCGGCGAGGATCCGGGCATCCGTGTTCCGTGTCATGCCGTGTGTTCGTGCGCCTTCGGGCTCTGTCAGTCTGTTTCGCTTCGGCTTGTTGTGTTTGGCAGCCAGCGAGCCTGTTTCCCCGTGCAGGAATTGCTGCTTCTCCTCTGCATAGACTAAAGAATACCAATAAGCTTACTAGGCAAACAGTCGCGTGCCCGACACTCACTCATCTGTCGTGGACCAGAGCATCGCAGGATGCGAAGAACCACAGGCCCACACTGTCCAGATGCTGGGCTTGAGTTAGTGTTCATATTAATGTGTCAAAACCTGTGCTTGAGCTTCTTTGAATTCTGTGATAAGCCACATGATGCCGCAGAGAGAGGGCATGCCAACAGCTCAGGATGCAACACGGCTCCGGTTCGTGACACGCGCACCGACAGGTGCCCTCAAGACTCCAAGCCCGCATTCAACAAATCCAAGACCGGGCTGGGCACACCGCAGCACCGATCCAGTTGTGCATTGCCGAGCATCCGACGGTCAATATCGTTTGCACGGATGACAAGCCCAGACGACGATGCGGAGAAGGATCCCACACTGGCCTTGCAGATGTACACTGTGCCCTTGCTTACCCTGCGACTCGGCTGTGCATCCCGAGCCTCTTGTTAGTACCCGTCGCGTCGGAGATCTGTATCTGTAGCTCTCGCAATCGGAATTTTGCCGCTTGGAAGCCCGAAACAGAAGCGCAAAGCTTAAACGGCAGGGGCTGCAAAGCACTCGACGTTCACCTTCAAGCCATTCTTCATGCGAATTGGTGTTTGATGCGTTGTCCTCGGTGTCGGGCAGGCAGGGTTAGCAAGGATTGAAATGATGGTTTAAGGACGAGCGCTGACTGGGCTTGGAAGAGGCCCGAACAACCTTCGAGGCTGTACTGGATGATGACATGTAGATGACAGTTTGACCTCATGGAAGACAAACCACCGAAACTCCTTTCGCTCCCTCGTTGCGCAATTCAGAACTCCTTCGTCGCACTTCGTTGTTTTTGCTCCCCGCCCCCCAAGTCATGCTTGCGCCGGGTGGCCCTCAATGCTTCGACAGTGCCACTTCATCCGTGCGCCAGCGTTGAGCTTCGGTGGTCAGCTTTAAGCGCATGTTCTTCACGCTACAACTGAAGTCGTGGGCGGACGTATCCCATAGAGATAAACCCTAAACCCTAAACCCTAAACCGCAAACCCTAGTGTGTGGATCTGAATTCGAGGGTTTTTGGAATCGAGAGCCCCAGAATGCGAGGCTGGAGATGCGCGAAGCCTTGCCGCATGAGACGCTGAAGGCCCAAGGAAGGCTTCGCATCTTTTCACGCAGGTTGGGAAAAGCAGTCTACGTTTCGCACGAATGGGTGAGCAAGCAGCATCCCGACCCGAAGTTTGAGAAGTTGGGGATCTTGCAGGATGCAGTGAAGATGATCATGTCAGAGTTGGACATCATCCCCCCGGATGCAATTGGCGGGCAGCTCTACTCTGATAACAAAGGCATCCAAACCAGGGAGTTCCGCCGCCCCGAGAGCTTGTACTTCTGGTACGACTACTTCTCCTGCCCACAGCTGCCCGAGCAGAACATCCGCAAGACCGTTGCCTCTTGTATTCCGCAGTACATTGCTCGCTCTGACTTCTTCTTCGCTCTCTGCCCGGCCGTTGTGACGGCGGAGGGCCACACGCACAGCCCGAGCTCATGGGCGAAGCGAGGGTGGTGCAGATTCGCTTCCCAGCTGCAATGAGTGTCGGACGGATCTCGGCTTCAAGTATGCTTTAAAGAATTGCTCCAGCCTAAGGAACGGGCGGTGCGCGAGATGTCAGGATCGTGGATCCTTGTTCAGGGCCCAAGGACCATGGAGGTGCTTGCCCAGCCCCAGATCGTCAACAGCTACGGAGGAGCCCCCGGCGAGGGCAACTTTGCTGAGGAGGTGGACAAAGCGCTCATCGCGGAAGTGCTGCCAGAAGTGCTCCGCGAGCAGATGATGTCTTCTTTGAGGGCTGGGGACGTTGTGGCCTATCGGGTGCACCTGAACCTCCAGAGCGTGCTCTTTCGGGGCCTGGAAGGCGCCAAACACATTTCCGATGTCGTCCCAGGAAGCTGGTCTGAAGATTGGGACTTCGAGCATCTTTGAGCCATGGTTTTTCCACGTGCTCCTCAGGAGGCTTTTTGAAAAGGGGATCATCGGGAATCGAAGTTCTAAGGATTTGAACCGAGCCCGACGGATGACGGGGCGGAGCACTTCCTGTTTCAGAATGGCTTTCAAGGCTTCAACGAGGTCGATGCAGCAGGCAGGCAGCATCCTTTTTTCCCCTCTTGTCGTACTTGAGAGTCTTATAAGGGCCTCTTTCGGACTGTCCTCCCTATCCGGTTCGGCAGGATGGTCGCCGCTGTGCTACGGTTGCCTCTCTGGGGACGTGCGGGTGGTCCAGGCTCTCCTCGGGCGCCGTGCGGACCCTGACACCCAGACAAGCAAGCCGCAAGAGCTGGTGAACCTGACGGCATGGAATCCGGTGACCTCCATCTGTGCCTTCTTCCACCAGAACGCAGCCCTGAGGCTGCTGATCGAAGCGAGGGCCAGGGTCGACTCCGGCTGGAACCCGCCTATCTCCGCCGCAGCCACTACCGACAATGCAGAGGGCATCCGTGTCCTCTGCGAGGCCGGCAACAGCCCCACAGCCAAGAACTCCTTCGGCATGTCCCCATTAGAGATTGCTTCTGGGGCAGGTGCCGTGGCTTGCATGGACGAGCTGGTCGGCCGCATGGATGAAGTGGACACGTCGAGGGCGCTGCACTTTGCCATGTGGTATCGAGGAGGGGCAGAAGAGGTGATTTCTAGACTCATCAGCGTGCGTGCCGACTTGGACGGGCAGCTCAAGATGCCGGCAGCATCTCTCCTTTCAATCGGTTGCGCGAATCTAAGCCTGCAGCATCGGCTTGGCAGGGTCTCAACATCGACGCGGATTGCTTACCACAGCTCAGACAGCACACCGCTCATGTTGGGTGTACTCTCTGGACAACATGCAGGCGGCTTCATACCCAGCATAACCTGGGAAAGCTAGGCTTGCTGAGTTTGGACCTGGGTCTAGAAACAAGGTGCATCACGGTGCTCAACAAGTAAGAAGCAAACCGCCCCGCCCCCCCCCCACCCCAAAAAAAAACTCGTGGAAACTCCCAAGCCTCATTCCGAACGCGATGAATTACGCGATTCTCCTGCAGGGGTCTTGGCTTTGGTCAAGATGGGCGCACGGCTGGACCTCAAGAACTCTCGCAAGCGCACAGCATCGGACATGGCCTTGGAGGTGAGGGCACCGGACCCTCGACGTGGAGAAGCAAAGCATCTTCTCTGTGTTTCCCCATGTTCCTTCAGGGTTTAGGGCCGTCTAGGGCTGAGGGTAGTAGCGGCTAGTAGCTTGCTTGCCAGACGCCCACCCCGCTGCACGGAACCGCCATTGAAACGCCGTGAGCATCAATGACATGCGGAAATTCAATGACCTGTGGTGTCTTATCGTCTTAGACCTAGTTTTGAGACAGCCTAGGGCCTGAATCCAGGTTAAGTTCTTGTGTGGTTTATTTATGGTTTGATATGGTGTGCATTTATGTGTTTTAATGGTTTGATTTGATTGTATAGTTTGCAGCAGTGACTTGTTTACGTGCTTTTGTGTTTGTATGGTTTCTCTTCGCCATGATGTTATGATATTCGTACGGCTTTTGAGACAAATTTCATGGAGTTTGTGGTTTTGGAGGGTCTGGGGGGGATTTTCATTGTTTTCTGGGTTTGGGCGTCGCCTTTCGGCGGGGAGCATTAAACCTGAAGAAACTATAACAGCATCCCTGAAAGTCAATTTTATGGTATTGGAGGGTCTGGGAAGATCATGGCAGCGTTTTTCGGGGGGGAGAATCGAATCATAAACAAACCAAAAACCCAATAACCTTGATGTTCTATGGTTGATGTATTGAAGTTTGACGGGTTTTGTTTGTGGTTTTGAACGGTCTTAGAGGGGTCTTCATAGTTTTTCCAGGTTTGGGCAGCGTCTTCCGGGATGGAGCATGACAATGATAAACAAACCATGAAGAGCAAACCCTAAACCTTAAACCCTAAGCTGCATAACATCATTATGTTGTGTTTTGCTACTTTTTTCTGCTTGGAAGGGCCTGGGAGGTAATTGTCATTATTTCCAGGCTGTGACAGCATTTGTCGAGACGGAGAATGAACGTCTGAACGTCGTACAAAAGAAACGCATGTAAAATCAACATACAAGTTATGTTTTTTCATGTTGATTTTGGGGCTCTGAGAAAGGTTTCATCGTTTTTCTAGGTTTTGGCAGCATTTTCGGGAGGGAGACTGAACAGCATAAAACATACTGTGAGCATGCAACTGAGCCCCATAATATTTTGTAGGTTTTGTTGAAAGGTTTTTGAGGGTCTGGGAGGGGTTGTCATTCTTTCTCTAGGCTTGGGCATTGCTGTTAGGCGGGGGGGGGGGGCATGAGAATGATGAAAAGCGCAAGCAGCACAAATTCGAAACGCTGTGGATATTTCTGTGTTTTTCGAAGGTCTGGGAGGCATCTCCACTGTTGTGGGGCCCGTTTTCTTTTTTGTTCTCTGTGCCCTAAACCCTAAACCCTAAACCCTAAACCCTAAACCCTAAACCCTAAACCCTTGGCTCGGCCTTTTTGGCTTGGCTCCGCTTGGCTTGGCTCGGGGCTTTGTTCTTTTCTGTCTGGCTTGGCTCGTTTTTTTTCTGCGTCTGGCTTGGCTCGGCTCGGCTGGGCTTGGCCTGGCTCGGCGTGGCTTCGGTCGGCACCCACGGTGTAGGGTTTAGAGCCGAACGCTCAACGCCTTCGCTGTCGACCCCGCTCAAGCTGTGGCAAGGTTCGAAGGCCAACAAAAGGCCGGGCAAGCCACAAGCCACGCCGAGCCAAGCCAAATGCAGAGAAAAAAAAAGAGGCCAGCCGCGCCAAGCCCAGCCAAGCCGAGTCAAGCAAAGCAGAGCCAGACACGGAGAAGAAACAGAAAAACGAAGCCACATCCAGCCAAGCCAAGCCAAGGCGAGCCAAGACAGACGCAAAGAGAAAAAAAAGCGGGGCCAGCCAAGCCGACCGAAGCCACGCCGAGCCAGGCCAAGCCAAGCCGAGCCGAGCCAAGCCAGACGAAGAAAAAAGCCGAGCCAAGCCAGACGAAGAAAAAAAACCCTCCGCCCATTGTTTTGGTCTAGGTTTTGGAAGCGTTTTTCGATTGGGAGAATGAAAATCGTAAACAAATAAACAAACCATAGAAACTCCATGACATGCGCGGCAGATTTATAGTTTATTGTTTTTTTCTGTTTTCTGTTGTGGTTCGGGAGGGTCTGGGAGGTGCTTTAATTGTTTTGCTAGGTTTTCGGAAGGGAGAATGAAAATCAGCAACAAACCATAAACAATACAAAAAGTTCATAATTGATCTGGTGGTATGGCTTTAGAGTGGTTTTGGAGGGTCTGAGTTGGATTTTCATGGGTTTTATGCATTTTCGATAGGGAGAATGACAACGACAAAGAAACCATGAAGATTACATAGAATCTATTTATCTCCAAACAGCCAGCAGACAGGAAACCCCTTGCAAACGTCATGGTTTGTTTCACATAATAGTTTCCGCGAGCTACCGCTCAACGCTGTGTGTTTTGAAAACTGAGCATATCTGAGCATTGACACGGACATACCGGTCTGAGCAGAAACTGTTATCACCTGGCACTTGACACCACTTACTAACCGAAGCTTGAGAAATGTCTCAACGGTTTTCACGGGGCATTGTGACCAGATGCTCACATGCACCGATACTTCTCAAGGAATGAGTTCAACATCATTGCTGGACGCTACGCTTTCGAGTTGCTGTAGTTTCGACAAATAACCAACAAATTCGAAGCAACAACTGGCCGCAAAAAGCACGAACGGCTGAGTTCAATGAGGAACACGCCAGATAAACAGCCAAAATCGCTTTCCCATAGTTCTTCGAGCGATTTCGGCTTTAGTTTCTCCGACAGTCCTTGCATCAAGAAGACGAGCTGGCAGCGTGCAGGCGATGTGAAACCTGCATCCTTCCTAAACCCTAAACCCCAAACCCTAAACCCTAAACCCTAAACCCTACACCCTAAACCCTAAACCCTAAACCCTTTCTTTGGACTCCTGAAAGACTGCCCAGGAGAAGCTGCAGGAAGCTTTGCTCTGACGAATCCGGCAAAGACACCTATGAGAACAGCTTGGCGACCTTCATCTCTGCTCGGAGCGTTGTAGCGGAAAGTTTGTACAGGACCGTGTCAGTCAGTGCCACTGCCCCGGAACTTATTTCTGCGGCTCCTTCTCAACTCGGGTGGTTGGAGGCGAGCAGCAGGAGAGGCCGTCAGGGGCTGGTGATGTTCCGCTGCATACCGAGTATGTCAGCGACTGGCCTTAGGCCTTATCAGGACCCACAACTCTCAGTTTCGTGAGGGGCCGATACCTCATACCAAAATTGATAAAAAAATGCTGTACTCGTACCAGGTGTGGAGACTCCCCAATTCCTGCCTCCCACAGCCCTTTGCGTACGTCCGCATTCCTGGGAACGTTTTTAATGTCGGCGTTCCTGGGAACTAATTGAATTGCTAATGTCACTCGGCAATTCTGGTCGAGCTTCGAATTTTCAGCGAGCCGGGACACGCGTGCTGACCTTCATCGCTGTTCGGAGATACGTAGTAGTCGGATCCTTCTGCTGGAGGGTGCCAGAGCGGCCCCTTATTTTTTTTCTCCCACTTCAGTGGTTCGAGATGCACCAGCAGATGTTTGCAGTCATGCGCAGAATTTCAATGCAGGCCATCAATTCCAGGCAGCCGAAGACGGGGCTGGTGAGAGTCCGCATACGGAGTATGTGAGCTCACACTGGTCAGTTTTGTCGAGCTCCCAGGGACCGCGAAGCCTCTACGACCCGAAGACCCAAGGTTAAAAGTGGTTTGCACCGTAGAAGCGTCTTTGCGTTCCTGTGGAATGACCATTCCTTAGCAGCAGGTGGGTGGTATTCCCAGTGATAGCCAGAATACCTATAATGAATGGATATCATCGGAACCAATGAGGGAAGTGAATGTGTTGTTCGCAAGATTGTCATTGCCAATGTCATCACATTCGGCCCATAAGCGGGCTTCGAAACAGTAAGCTGCACACAAGTTCATGAGACTTCAACGAAGAGCGGGTTTCTACAACAGAGGTGCGACCTCACTGCCACCGTCATGATCATGAATGTGATGGTGCAGGTGCCAATGATCATGATTGCTAGATGTGCTAGATTGTTGCTGATGAGGATGAGCATGTGGACGCGGATAAAGACGATGATGGTAGTGATGGCGTTTGTGGTGCTGGCGATGGTATTTGGGCAAGGCTTTGGTTCTTGCCTCAAGCCTGATGCCCCAATTTGTAAATCTCGTAAGATCCCGCCTCAGGCGCGGAAGGTTTCGTTTCAGCTGAGACGCGAAGGCGAGCCGTTGCCGTCTGTTTCCGTGCAGAGGAACGCTGCCAAGAGGAGAAAGAGAGAGGTTCAGCGAAAGCGGGTAACGGAACATGGCGTAGTATACCGTATCACTGGGACTCATGGCCTACATCTTCGATGCCACTTGCAGATAAGACTGAATGACGAGGTTGCAGCTAGTCGCACAGAGGAGTCTGATCGGGAGGCACCTTTGGTTCCCGCTTCATCGGCGGCTGCCAGCTTTCCCTGGCGCAGCTGGCAAGCGCTGAGGTGCGAGACCAGGCGGGAGTGTTGCGGTGGAAGGTTTCAGGGCACCGGGTTGTATCAGGCAGTTCAAAAAGAGTCGAACCTTCGATTCCCAGCTCGATTCTGGCCAGGTGCTTCCGCTCTGGGAGGGGACGAAGGAGGCTTGCGGCCCCGACATCCGGGCTTTTCAGAGCTTCGGAGCTACTTCGTGTCAGGTCTTATGCGTCAGGGCTTCCGCTGTTGGGGGTTATTATTAGGGGGGTATGGGGTTTTGAGGGCTTACGCGCCTCGTAGGGCCATTGTAGGGTTCATCAGTCTGATAGGGTTGAAAGGGCTGAGGAATTGAAACCTTGAGCACGCAAAGCCTCAAAGCCACACCTGCATGAACAGATACCTACATACGTACCTACATATGCAGAATGGAAAGGGAATGTATGTGCAGTCTGGACCCGCCCGTGCATTTGCGAGATACAATCAGCAAAAACTGTATGTATTGACAGACACAAACAGACACACACACACACACACTCTCTCGCTCTCTCTCCTCTCTCTGTTCTGTCTGTCTGTCTGCCTGTCTGTCTGCCTGTCTGTCCTCTGCATATTTATGCCAGGAGCCCCAACGGACCAACCATGAAGCCTGCAGTGTACTTTCTTGGCCAATGCAGGCTTAAGCGTGTATAAGGACTCCGAGCACGAGTTTGCTTCGAGAAGACATGCGAAGTTCTATATGTGCAGTGACGGCATTTCCTCAAGTAATCAGGTGATGCACGCACCACTTATTTCATTCATGAGGAAACAAAAACAATTCTATACACATAACCTCAAGCATGCGTGTTAAGAATGTTCCCTTCAAAGCAGAGGAAACGAATGTTCGGTCAAAGCTAAAAAGAGTACTGCTAAAGTTAAACTAAGTGTTAAGAAAGCACTTCTTAAGGATCAGCCACATTGCTGCAGTATTTCTTTTTTGATGTGGTTGAATACGAAGGAACAGTCGTTTATTGCCAGATAGATTGAAGTCTATAGTAATGCAATTTTGATAATGTTTGGTCGTCATTCGACAGGCAGAAGTTGAGGGTGTTTTGAAAGCTTCAAATTTCGGTTAGACTGGGAACTAGACATATGGTTGTATCCCAAAGTTGAACATAACAGATTATGGAGCGAGTATAAACACAAGGCTTTGCTACTAATCCGTGATCGCGGCATTCCCGAAAACTGTGTAAATGGCATACACTCAGCACATTTTAGTCCAATGTTAGACTAACTTACCTAGAGACTCCAAAACCCCATCATATTAGGGATCCTAGTATCATTTAAGGTATATTCCTTAATTAAGGGGTTTTGGAGTCTCTAGGTAGCACCAAACTTGTACAACACAAGGGGCACATCTACTCCAGCACCGGTAACGGGTGCTCGAAACAGTATGACTTAAGGTTAATACTCATCATTGAGGTGGTACTTAAAGAACCTTTACAACTTAATTGGTCCTGATTGAGGTATGAAGTTTAACTTACGCATTGATTGAACTTCGATCAGATGTCTGTTATTGTGCTTGATGGAGTGTCCATTACATCGTAGTTGCTGTATGTATATGGTAACCAATACTTGTGAAGACTCTTGCTCATACCAGCTATGTTGTAAATATATGACATACACGCACGACATGTTGGGTAGGTTTTATCTAAACATCAAGTGTTACACAATGTTTAAGCAAATGCGGACCTAGTTGTCGTTGTTTTCGCTGAACAACTAGCTACTGTAGACATAGCAACATATTTCAAGCAGGTTTCAGACGAATTTTGGAACATGTACAAGGTTACCAGTGATGATGATGAAATATCGGTTGTGTTTGATAAATAAAATCCGAAATTCCGAATGAAAAGCCGTTTCAAGACAAGTAAATTAAAGGAGTCTGACAGGTATTCATGTATATGCGCGAGCGAAAGCGAAGACAGTTTCGGAAACGTGTTGAGATATGTAACAATTTCCATGATTCGCACAAGTTTAAAAATTCCAAAACCTCCGAATTCCAAATCTTCACACACATTCAAGCATTCCAAGGATTCCCAAATTCAAAGGCTTGCAGCCATTCAATAGCTCCAAAAAGTCTACAATCATCAGAAAATGTTAAAGGCGTAGGTTGCGTTCTGGAAATCCGTTTTTTTCACATGGCTTGTAGGTTTTGGTACTTGTTGCATCGTTGGAATGTTCGATTTTGCAATTTGTGCAATCCCAAAACGGTTTCGTAGTTTTTGTAACTTGTTGTTTTGTTGGAAACCAATGCGCCCGATTTTTGGAGTTTTCGGAATTCTAGACAGCAATTTCGGTTCTGTAATTTTAGTTGAGTTTTAGACAGTGAACCTTTTCAATCATAACGATTTTGATTGACAGGTTGGTCCATTGGGTGGCCATATAGCTAGCCCATCAGATGTGAACGCATAATACGAATTTTACATTATAACGCCTTCATTGTCCTTAGGTGCAGGTTTGAAAGACAGAGAACGAGACAGAGCGAGAGAGAGTCGTTACACCATATCGAAACAGAATGCCACGGGGGGGCGAAACCCACCAATTCTCACGTCCCCTCAATGCCCCATAACATATGGGGGGCCGCTTGGCCGGGGGACCTAAACAGCCCCCCATGCCCAATGAAAGAACGAGTCATTGAGTCCCTTAGTCTCCTCCTTTCCTTTGGCGTTCTGGCATATGAGCGGGACCCCCAAAAGAGAGCAGGGATCCTTATCAAGGACATTCACCCTCAACCCTAAACCCTAAACCCTAAACCCTAAACCCTAAACCCCAAACCCTAAGCGCCCTTCAGAGGAGGGGCTCTTTTTGAGGTCGGCCGACTCCGGCTTTCCCTGGCTTTGAGCCCGGGGCCCGGGCTCCCGGGAACCGAGCCGAGCCGTCCAAGGGGGCTCACGAACCTGGCGGCCGGTGGCCTCTCGGCAAAAATCTTGGGTTTTCGCGCTTTCAGGGTTCAGGTTTAGGGTTTTCTTGTGAAGCTTGGCGTCTTTGATTTTGTTGGGGGGGAGGGGGGTAGAGGGGGTGTGTGGGGGTGCGTTCGGGTGTACCGCCGATGTCGTACATCTAAAGATGTAGATGGTCTGATATATCTCAGGTCGGGTTCCGGTTCTTCGTCCACCCGTTACGCTTCGATAATATCTGTGGAACCCAAGAGCCCGGCTCAGGATCAATTGTGCAACAGCACATGTATGTATGTGACATGTAGATGTGACAATGTGCGCATGGGCATATGTACCCCGACATGCACATGCATGTGTACATCTCTTCTATACACAAAGACATTCGCATGCGTACAGAGAGAGGGAGAGAGAGAGAGAGAGAGAGAGAGAGGGAGAGAGATAGTGTCCCAAAGGTGCAGAGCATCTTTCACCTGCGAGTGTCGGGAAGAAGCATAGAAAATATCTTCGCTTTCTTGGCTTTCTTGTGCTATGCAGCATTCACTAGACGATGGAAGTTGGCAAAAATCCATTCCCGAACCGAATGGAGGTGCTTCCCTCGTGAACTACAGCGCCCTCAACGCTGGGGGCCTTCTGAACCGTGTACCTTATTTGCAAGCATCAGTATGGACTTCCATCGATGTAGATGGTTGGGCAGATGATCTTGGAGGCAATCAGAGCAGGTTGCATAAGCTGAAATTGGGCTTTCGTCTCGCAAGCCCTTGGCCCAATCCAGTCGGCGGAAGCTGCAGATGGAAACAACACACTTGTCAGCAAGTCTCGGCACAGCATGTTGCAGAGCGCTCCCCTGTGGTGCGGTGTAGCCCTAAACCCTAAACCCTAAACCCTAAACCGTAGGCGCTTTGGCTTACAGCTTCCCGCGCATGTGCATTTGCATGGTTACTCTCCGCAAAGGTGGTATGAGGATGTTCCTATATGGTTTCACTTTCCTTGCTTTTTCAGAGGGGATAGCAGCTGAGGCTACTCCTCTAGCGCCTCAAAGCAGAGCCATGGCCGATCAGATCGAAGGCCTGTCGAAGAGCTTTGCTCATCCGGAGACGCAGCTCCGAGCCAAGCAGTACTCCGCCGTCACGGAGAATTACCAGCAGATGTGGTTCGAGCAGCGCAAACAGATGAAGCCCGGACCCCCATCGGCGGCGGGTATTTCAAGCACTGGCTTGACTACTCCGCAGGAGGATCAAGAGATGGCGAACACGGAGCAGGCGTCGGGATCGCAGCAACCACTCCGCCTTTTCAACCCTTTCACCATCGACAAGGATGTGGCTACTACGCTAACGGCAGCAGAAGCGGGGGTGGATGCTAACAACCCGCAAGCGGTGCAGGAGTATTTGTCTGGTAGGGTAGCAACGCGCCAAGACGTTTTTGACTTGGTGCGTAACTACCATACCGGAGTAATCCGCAGCGAGCTCTACAACCTCATCACGCAGGTCGAAAGCGTCGTCAAGAATCTGGACGATAGGATTTTGAGGAACACCACAGAGCTCCACTGGCTAAGCTCTGAGTTCTGGGACAGAGCAGAAGCGGAACTGTGGACTTCAAGTACTCCTCACAGGCTGGGATCCAACGATGACACCGGAGGAACGCCACTTTATGGTTGGGTGGATGCTGCAGCAAGTGGGTTTCGTTCGCACGTGGCTAAACCGCCGTGGCTACTCCGATCTGAGCGCTGAGCAGGTATTTTTAAATGTGCTCCAGGTTGACCCGCCGGCTACTCCTCCCTCCGGGTCCCAATGGAGTACAATTACGATCCTGACTTTTAAAGCCTGGGATCTCCGTAAGGAGTTCATGAACGCCTTCGGAGGATCCACGGGTACTCCTCTGTGGCGAGACTCGCACACCCTAGTAAGGGGCCGCCACGTTCGTGCCACACCTTGCAGTCCGCAGTTTCAGCGCAAGCTTGAGACACCAACTCGTGTACTCCTCGCTCTGATAAACCAAAGCGAGGTTTTGGAGCACAGCCAGGTCGTGGTGCTGTGGAAGACACTGACAATAATGTCTCCACAGGCAACCCGGCAATTCGATGAGCAGGCTACTGCTGCTGCACGTCTTTTTTATTTCGAGGAGAAGGGCAGCTTTAAAGCCCGCCTCGAAATTGGTGCAGAGATTTTCGAAGCATGTTCGGCTACTCCTCCCGCAGGCTCCGATGAGCCGAACATGTGGTCTTATATGTGGAACAAGGTTGTTATCGGAGTTCAAGCTGAGCTTGACGAAGCCGATAAATCAACCTTTGAGGAAGCAGTACGCCGCTCCAATCTTTCGGGGCAGGGGCTCAGCATCAGCAAATCGAGCCGACACTGGACCCAAGGCTTTGTCTACTCCTCCAAGTTGAATCCGTATCCGATTGAGTTGGTTATTGCCAAGGTGGATAAGGTGGCTTACTGTTGGGATGAGTATTGCGACAAAATGTCGCCAGAGCACAAAGTGGGTGACTCCTCCGCAGCCACCTACAAAGGAGCCCCAGCAGTGACATGCCACCACCGGCTAATCCGCCGGCAAGCTTTGCAGCAGCAGCAAAAGCTGCGGCGCCGGCCTTTGGAGGTGCGGCCTGAAAGGCCCCTCTTTGCATGTTTGAAGTGTGCCGGGGGACTACCCCGCTACTGCCCAGGGTTGCTAGCACGCACTTTTTCAATCTTTTCAGCAGGTGCTGGCTTTATAGAAGCTGCCGCCCTGACAAAGCAGTGCTCCCCTGTGGCGGATTTTGAAGAGACTCCCGGCCGAAGTACTAATTCGCAAAGGCCGCCAAGCAAAGAGCGAACGCAGTAGAAGAAAAGATTGTAGAAGGGGTAAACCGATTCACCGGTACGCTTCCCCAGCCCCTCCCTAAGACTACTCCTCCACGTAGGGCTTTCGATGTACTACTACACACAACCAAACAGAGCCTGCCCAATCATTGTATTTTTCGACTCGGCATTGCTATTTGCATCCATATACCACCCTCGCCCAGGGATATAGCAAAGTCCTACAGGCTAGCAGGAATAAGCTGCAGCATGCTAAGTCTGGCAATAAAGTAACATTAAAATTAGCAGACCTCATCCCGCACCATACCCCGGACACCCCCTCGAACCCCAATCAAATAAATAGAGAAGTCCTCTTAGCGTTAAGACCAGATTACTCCGCCCAAACACCCGGTCCTATAATCCCGTTGAGCCAGAGACCAGAGCCACCTAAGAACGTCTCGCGCACGGGAAGACGCAGGGTGTACTTAAAGCAAGATGGTACCAAGTGGTACACCAAACACAGGCTACTCCTCCGAAATAAAGGGCATCGCCCAGCCGCCAAAGCCACTTTTTCACCATCCGCCACTCCTGAAGGACGCACGGACAATTTTCACAGAATTCAACAAAGAATTAATCAAAATTCGAAACGGGAAGAAAACGAGCTTGCACCGCCTCCACGAGGCGCGCCGGGAGCTTCGGCAAACGAAGAGTGCATACCCGCCTCCCCTCCACTCCGCACCTTCTTGGGTCACGGGTCCAGCGCACGGCGCGAGCGACGGCGGGAATACCGTCGTTGGCGTCGGGCGCGCAAGGTGCAAATACGCTTGGGTCGCTTGGGCAAGGACTTAAGCAAAGAGGGGAAGCCCTTGAACGCTGCCGCCAGGCGTTCAGCGGGGAACAAAACGGCCAAAAAGTTCAGGGAACTTCTAAAACAGGCCGAATGGAAAGGACCAAAAAGGGAGAATGCCCGGACAAACCAGGCTACTCCCCAAAAACCATACCCAAAATGTACAAGGCATTGCTGAAACTCTCAAACACCAACAAACCATCTCCCTCATGACACAATACGGCCTAGACATTCTTTTGCTGACAGAAACGCGAAGCAAATCATACTACTCTTACAATTCGCAGGGATACCAATTCATCGTTAACGGCTCCCCCAAAGACACGTACGCCGGGGTCACCACAATCATCGCCCCACATTTGCGCCCTTACGTTCAGGACGTCATCCAGCACTCCCCCCGCATGAACCAGGTCACAATAGCTTGCCGGGAGGGTAAAACACACGTCGTCGGCGCTTATGCCCCACACAACAAAATCGATTCCGCGCAGAAACACGCATTTTGGGACATGTTGGAAGACATCTTTTCGGCTACTCCTCTGCCTGAGCCAACATACATAATAGGAGATCTGAATGTAAGATTGCAGGGTCGCAGCAATCAAGAAACCCAGGAAATAGGCCCGCATGTTTACGGCAAGGGAAGACAGTTCGCGCAAAGCAAAACAGATGACAACCGCGCTCTGTACCTAAACATGTTAACAGGCCATTCCGCGGTAGATGCATTAACCTTCAAGACCCCGAACCTCAAACACCACATAACATATAGAGATAAGACTCCGCCCCCACAGGACTGGAGCGGCTTGATCACAGATCCACTAGGATGGCTACACTTCTATGATAAGATCCAGTCGCTGAACTTGGATGAACCCACACAACTCAAGATTGCCAGTAATATAAGGGAATTTGTTACAGAGGATAAACATCCAGCTATGGCCCAAATACCTCCCACAGTTGATCCTCTACGGTTTCAAAGCCTAGACAAGGTTGTTACCAAGCGCAATTGGCTCCCTACAATACTTAATGTAAGAGCGCATCATGATTCAGGTTTCCCTAGTGATCATTACATTCTGGTTGCTGAGTGCAGGGTAAAGCTAGGTGCCAAAATCCCTAAAACATCCCGTCCCCCATCCAGATGCTACTCCGCCAACACAGAATTTCCAAAAGCATTCAGAAAACATTACGCTAGAAGCACCCGCCCCATCCCCTCGGCTACTCCTCCGGACATACACGCGGAAATATACACGGATGGATCAGGATCATCAGGCCGCTGCGGCAAGCACACTCCAGCGGGATGGGGATTTCTGCTTTTTGCAGAACAAGAGATTCTGGAAGAAGCTAGTGGGCCGGTTATCACGGATGACCTGCATCCGTTTAATTTTGGCGCGAAGGTTGGAAGTAATAACACAGGGGAACTGCAGGCTTGGATGGAAGCTTGTGCATACCTTATACGGGCTACTCCTCCCGCCGATGAACCCTTGTACTACGACAGCAAATGGATGGCGCAGATGGTAAGAGGACAAGCACGACCGAAAAGACACAAGGAAATGGTGCACACAGCCAGATTACTCCGCCAACAGCTAGAGGAAACCACCAGGATACAATGGCAATGGGTCAAAGGACACAGAGGGATCGCGTACAACGAGCGCGCGGACGAATTGGCAGAACAAGGAAAAAAGGCACTCACGGCACAGGGCGGCCGATACGCGCAAAACAACGCACTGCAGCTAGAGGATTTGACCCAAACCACACAGCTTTCGCAGGGCACAGTAGAAGAAAAATACAATCGTATACTGCAAGCCGCACGCGCGGCAGAACAAGAAGTTTTTCCGCCCCATCAGGCTACTCCGCAAAAGCCATGGATCACACCAGAATTGGCTGAGAAAATCTCACAGGCTAAACGGATGAACGCAATCCTCGACACGGGCTACTCCGCATACTACAAGGCATTGAAAAAAGAAGCACGACAGCTAAAACGCCAATGGGTCAGGGACGCTTTCGAGAGCAACCCAAACCCCAGCCACCGGACTATCTGGAAAAACCTGAGAAAACTAAAGAAGGGATTCTCGGAACGCAAACGAAGGCTAGTGGTTAATGGACGGCAAATACCATGGTCAAAAACTCACGAGGCATTCGCAAATCACCTCACAAAATCCCAATGGGCTCCGACGCAAGTCACTCAGGACGAAAGAAATTTACTCAGCGACTCGCCGCCCCTTAGACCGCAGGACACTACTCCTCTGCAACCATTCACACATTCCGAACTAACTGCAGTTCTCAACAAACTTAACAAAGGCAAAGCACCGGGCCCGGACGGCCTTCGCCAGGATCTGCTACTCCTTCTAGACACATTTGGGGAAGCGCAAATCCTGGATATGATGAATACGTGCTGGATAACCAAAACAATGCCACAAGATTGGAAGGACGCAATTGCGTGTTCCTTTTACAAGGGCAAGGGAGATGACGCGGACGCAACAAACTACAGGCCGATTGCGTTACTCAACACACTCTACAAAATCTATGCCGCGCTCATCCAGGCCAGACTGGCAGAAACCTATGACCAGCTACTCCGCCAAACACAGTATGGCTTTAGAAAAGGACGCAGCGCATTACATCCACTTTTCATACTGCGTAGATTACAGGATTACTCCGCCAGGACATGTCAGCAATTTCACCTAGTATTTTTAGACTGGCGAATGGCCTTCGATAAGATAGACCACGAAAGCATGCTGATAGCATTACAGCGATTTGGCTTGCATCAACACTACATTGAAATTATTAAGGATATTTACACAAACCCCACATTCTATACCATAGGTATAAAAGGAGAACACGCTAAGGGTACTTCGCACACGGGCATCAGGCAAGGCTGCCCTGCTGAGCCCATACCGCTTCATTATAGTAATGACAGTACTGTTAGCGGATGTAGACAAAAGACTACTCAGCACAGGCGTTCCCACAAACACATGGTCGGTAGGAAAGCCGGTATATGATGTAGAATACGCAGATGATACATTAGGGTCACCATTTCGGCTGTAGAAGAATACCTACGCAATGTGCAGTCTGAAGCAACACTGTACGGATTGTACCTCAACTTTACCAAGACGGAATACCTGCAAACACAACACCAGACTACTCCGCCCGCGTTTATAGATTCCACACCCACCCCCAAAACTGAAAAGATTAAATACCTGGGATCTATGGTTTCTTGGACTAACCCCACATTAGAGGCCATCAATCATAGGATCTCGCAGGCCCACGCAGCCTACGGAAAGCTCGCCCCCTTCTGGAAAGCCACAATTCCTAAGAAAACAAGACTCGTCATATTTAGATCATACGTACTCTCAGTACTCCTCTACGGCCTATCCACACTCACCCTTGAATATAAACACCTGAAGAAAACTGATTCTTGGTACTTTCAGTTTCTAAGGAGAGTCGTTGGCATTAAAGCATCATACTACTCCCGAATCCCAAATAGAACAGTCTGGGCCAAAGCCAACCACCCCACACTTCCCCTCACAAACCCTAATCGCAGAGCAGTGCAAACAGCTTATTACAAGCTTGGCTACTCCGCACAACGACCCGATCCACCACGTAGTCTTCTCCCCAGGATATAAAGATACAGTAGGAATCCAAAAGAACGCACTGGCTAGGATTAGTTTCGGAACGAGCGCTCGAATTCTTTCGGAAAGATATAAGGACGCAACCCGGCTACTCCTCCCAACTAAGAGTAGATTTTCTGGGATTGAAGCAATATCTTCAAAAGCACCCCAGCTACTCCGCTCGCTTGGCGGCAGCGCCTACGCGCTTTGCACGTATGTTTTCCATCTATCAAAGCAGCATCGGTGGCGCATGGCGGTCGTAAAAAAACCCTAAACCGTGGTGTCCCAGTTTGGATTCCGATCAGCCTGCCTGCCTCGGCCGTCAGCTCTTCCACAGGCGAACGCTTCCGAGGAATCCGAGACCAGGCCCAGCTTCGCACGAGGCGACGTGGCCTTAGTAGTCGTAGTAGTAGTAGTAGTAGTAGTAGTAGTAGTAGTAGTAGCAGCAGCAGCAGTAGTAGCAGCAGCAGCAGCAGCAGCAGGAGTAGTAGTAGTAGTAGTAGTAGTAGTAGTAGTTGTGACTTGTGAATGGTGTTTTCTTTGGCCAAGCCCCGAAGGACCCAATGCGGCAAACCCAAGTCCTATCCACTGCGAGTTTGGATGAGACCTTTGCTTAGCGGGTTCGGATCACAACACCAGGTGTGGGGGTGGGTAGGTGCTGTGCTGCTGACCGAAGCATTCCTTAGAGCAGGTTTTGATGCAGTTTTGGTTTCCTGCTGTCTAGCTGCTATAGCTGATGAAGTAGAATCTCAAAGCAACTGAGCCTGTTACAGTAGGTTGGAACGCTGCAACAGGTGCAAGCGGCCTCGTGAACTGCGCTCTCTCTGCGGCGTCGTCGGGTCTCCGCAACGTGGTGGAGTCGGTTCCCCAGGCCCGGGCCTACCGTTTTTGGGAGTTTGAAAGCTGGGTGCAGGGATGTCTGTAGACGCTTCCGGAGCCTGAGTCAGGAGCGAAACAGCTCCAAGGAGGCTGCGGAGACTCGCCCGAGCTTTGCTAGAGGCAGCTTGGGGACTCTTGGGGTTTCAGGCTTCGGGCGGCTGGGGTGGCGGGGGGTTTGGTGGTAGGGGTGGAGATTACATTACCATACATACACACATACTTCGTATAGATATGGATGTAGATATAGCTATATGTATATACACACATACATATATATATATATACACATACATACATATGTGCGCATATATATATACATATATATATATATAGAGTTATGTATATATATATGTATAGTTATGTGCATATAGATATATAGATGAAGTAGATAGATAGATAAATAGATAGTTAGACAAATAGATAGCTACATAAATAAACAAATGGATAGATTAACAGATAGATATAGACAGATAGATATAGACAGATAGATATTTAGATAGATAGATAAATAGATAGATAGATAGATCGATACATAGACATGCCACCCCCACTCCAAAACCCATCTCAGAAGCCACGCCGGCAATAACTGCGCCTCCGGAAATAGTGTCCCCGCCAACACGTTGTGCACATTTTGTTCGGGATCCCTGTTTCTACCTCTCAAAATCCGGTTGGGGTTAGGATGCTCAGCAGAATGTTTGGAACAGTAGGCCACCCCCTCTGCATGTTGGCTGTGAAATACTTCTAGAGTGCGGCCGTTTAACCCGCAAATGAACCAAGGTTACATCACAGCATAGAAGTCTTCATGCTTGGTAATCATTCTTTTCGGATAGTCTCTGACGTAATGAAGGCACAAATTTTCTTCAGCGTTGCGGTAACCTATAGAGGTCTGACTATTTTGTGACAACATATTCCCTCCCTGATAGCTCCTGAACACCATATATACCATAAATCAAATGCTAAGTATTTGCCCTAAACCCTAAACCCTAAACCCTAAACCCTAAACCCTAAACCCTAAACCTTTGCATAAAGGCACTGATAACCTCACAGATCTCTGTCAAGGAAGCATGAATATTGAATTACCAAGGCCCCAAATGCATTTCCTTAGTTTATAGACACTAGTGTAGATGCCGACTCTGGCGAATTTACATTGAGAATGTAAGGATCCGAGAAATAATAGCAGTAGAAACTAGAGTACTAATAATAACAAGATCACGGTTTAAGCGATGTATACGAGCCGGAACAAATAGAATAACAATTAGAATAAGTTTTTGTTCGCATCGTTATGGAAGGACGATTGGGGGATATTGTTGTTCATTAATAAAGGCGCTCATTAATCAAGCTTTTACATCGTCTTTGGTGTTCAATTATTTTGCAGTCCTATTCCTGAGTGCACTTGCTGTAGAGAGTAGCCCGAAACGCGGTTCCAAGCGGGATCATGTGCCCGGCGTGTTGGGCTCTGCAGGTTTTTTGCCTATTCATGATATGCGGTATACACTGCATGAAGTAGCGGAAACCCAAGCTAGGTGTTTCACATGTCGAAGAAAGACGGAGGTAGATCAAGGGGGGTGGGGTGTGTGTGACGGTATTCCAAAATGGTATTTCGTACATAATACATCTTATGACATGTCTGCATACATATGTATATATATATATATATATGTACACACACATATAAGATATATTCTGTACGATATGCCTGTTTGGCATGATATACCATCTGATACCCTGGGTGTTCACCTATTCGGAAAGTCCGAAGGTGCCAGCCAAGGCCTCGCAAACCTGGCCGCCGTGTGCTCAGAGTCAGGCTGTAGTCGTCGTCGTAATGGGAGTGGTAGTGGTTGTCACAGTGGTGGTGCTGTCGGTGGTGGTAGTGGTAGCCGTCGTTGTATATAGTAGTAGTCGTCGTCGTCGTAGTCGTAGTTGTAGTAGTCGTACAAGTCGTAGTGGCAGTGGTAGTCGTCTTGGTCGCCGTCGTCGACGTCGTCGTAGTAGTAGTAGTGGCAGCAGTAGTGGCAGTCGTAGTCGTAGTCTTAGTGGTAGCCGTCGTTGTTTGCAGTAGCAGTCGTCGTCGTAGTCGTAGTCGTAGTCGGAGCAGGCAGTTGATTGTAGCAGTAGCAGTTGCTTTTTGTAGATTCTGAGGTGCCTTCTATCCACGCAGCAACTGTAACAGCAGCAGCAGTGGTAGTTGTGGTAGTAGCAGTAGTAGCCCCTTCTTTGAGGTCAGGGAAGATGGTTCCCGCCCCACGGCAGTGCCTCACGCACTGGAGCTGCTAGCCGAGGCCGGGCACATGTATGAGACAATGCAAGTGAGCCATGCTGGTACTGAACCTCAACCCCCTAAACCGCGTACCCATGAGCCCTTGGCCCTAAACCCTTCATCCCCGCGGGTATACATATGATGATGGTCCGCCGACCGTTGGCAGAGAGCCTCGCCGCTCAGCAGCCAATTTGTATACCGAAGGAAGTCAGCCTTCCAAGATGCCCCCAAACCCAACAGTTTGGGCGGAACACAGGGCCCAAGAGACCCTCAGCCTTACCCCCTGAACCCCTTAACCCCTGAATCCCTGAATCCCGGAACCCCTGAATCCCTGAAACCCTCAATCCCGGAACCCCTGAACCCCTGAACTCCTGAATCCCTAAACCCTAAACCCTAAACCCTAAACCCCCTAAACGCCTGAACCTCTCGCAGGTGCCGGCCTTCGACCCCGGTAGCGATGGACATAAGCGGAAGCTGGCACAGGCGCTGGAGAGCTTGAGGCTGGGTTTAAAGGGGCAGGGAGGTATGAGCTTCCCCTAAACCCTAAACCCTAAACCCTAAACCCTAAACCCTAAACCCTCAACCCTCAACCCTAAACCCTAAACCCCAAACCCTAAACCCTTCCATGGGCTCCTACAAAAGGGGGGGGGTGAGTTGGGGGCCTTAAGGGTTCCGGTGCAGGGGGTTCTTGTGGGGCTGGAGTTTGGAGTTTTTGGGGCGTTGGGGGTCAGCGACTTTTTGTGGGAATTTCAGAGATTTGAGACCCGAATTCAGAACCCTAAGCAGTCGGATTCCTGTCATAAGGACCCCCTTATCAGATACCCCCCACATTCTGAAACTCCCATGTGTGGCACTAATGTAGTGTTCTGATTCATCTGGTCATGAAGCATGCAGCGCTATAGTTTCTTAGGGGTACTTAGAAATAATTTTTAATCTTTGGTTACTATAAACCCTAAGAAGCAGCTAAAATTATAATTTTTGCTGGGGGTCTAAGTTCAGTATAGGTTTGGGGTTTAGGATTCAGGGAATCGTCCGATGACGCTGGATGCGTTTTCCTTATGAGGATCTGTCTACAGCCTCCCGGCACTGGTACCGTGCCAACAGTTATTGCGCGGTCTCTGCACCTGAAAGCCTGAACCCCAAACCCAAACCTTGATCCCTGAGCCTTAACTTACAGCTCTTACATAGCCGCAGCCAGTAAAGGAGTCATGGTAGCACCTTAGGCAACATGCTTCAAATCCAAATTTGGACCCCCGACCCTGACCTTGAACTGCCAAGCCTACCTTGTTGTAGGGTCCCATACTACATAGTTCTATATTCGGGCTTACAATCAGAGCCTACACGACTAGTAGGTTGTGGTAGTTTAAGGAAACAGAAACCCTAAAGTCTACGCCCGAAATCATCGTAAATTCTGAAACCGAAGAGCAGCTCTTTAAAATTCAGGGGCAAGTTGTAGAACGTCTTCAAAAAGGGGCTCGATCAGATTTGATAAGGTTCTTTGTTGGAAGCGAGTTTCTCGACATTTGCTTGCTTGTGTGGGGTCCTTTATGAGGAAACTGTTTTCGGAAGCCTGCGCATGCACGCATAAGAGCTAGTAGAGCGGCTGCTGCTGGCCCGAGGAGAGAGAGAGAGAGAGAGAGAGAGAGCCAAAACACACCAACGAACCCCCAAGACCCTCGGAGCCCTCAACCTCTAAAGCACTAGGCCAGCCAAACCCTCGGAGCCCTCAAACTTAGCCTGAAGAGCGCTCCGGCCAGGAAGGCTTCCGCGGAGGACCTGCAGGGAGCCCTTGGGCGCCAAGCCTTGGCGGAGTGTGCACCGAAGGTCGAGGCGGGCGGGGGCTCCAAGGACAAAGCCCTAAAAGGGAGAGAGAGAGAGAGAGAGACAGACATATCACGTGTTGTGTGTTCACAGGGCTGTGCAAGTCAAGCGCTCAACTGAGCGCTGCCGCAAAGGGCCTTGATGACAAAGGGCTCAAAGGCCAGCCATTCAGCCTGAGGAAAGGAGGAAAGAAAGGGACCCTGGGACGCCTCGAAAGCTGCATCTGCAACCAGCTTCTTTCCTGAAGCCTCAAACCCTAAACCCTAAACCCTAAACCCTAAACCCAAAAGCATCGAAATTCGAGCCCCGAATGACCCCCGGAGCTTCCGCTGTGTGCAGATTTTCGCAGGCCGTCTTCGAAGAGGCACTCCGCCTTGGCAGTGAGAAGGTGCTTCTCAGACACCGAGTGTCGGGTTTACTCGGGTTCTCAGAGAGAGGGGGTAGTTCTCTAAATTAGGGTCCCTTTTGGGGTCCTTTTTACAAGGGTGCCGTACTATATTGGGGACCTAAAAAGGAGCCCTAATTTAGAGAACTACCCATAGGGTGTTTGGATCGGTTGTTGGTTGTAGGGTTTGGTGGCCGTGACTCAAGGGCAACTCGGGTCGCGTTCTCCCCTGCATAGAACTTCTGGGCATGAGCATTAGCCGTGAACCACTCAACTGTGCAACCACCCAAGAGTTCGAGGCACTGAGTTTCGAAACCCTGACCCTTAAGCCTTAAGCTGCCTTCAAAGAGGCCGGAACCCTTAGCTGCACCTGAGCCGCTCCGTGGCGGCTTGCCAGGATGCCAACGCCGCGCTCTGGCTGGCCGGACGCCTCCCCGAACCGGAGGATGAGGCCTGCGGTACGGGGCAAATGGCTCTCCTTTTTTGTTTCTTCCTCTGCTTCCTTCCGATGACGACGGGGGGACGACGGGATGCAGTAGCATCAGCAGGGGAACTTCTTCTTTCTTCTTTCTGCCCCGGTGAGTGAGCCTCAACTGTTGAGGGAAAGGTGCCTCCACCTCCGTTCTCCCAGGTCACCCTGCAGCTGTCCCTCCGAAGGAGGTGGGACCACCATTGCCTGCAGGAGGCAGGAACTTCAACCAGTGTCTATGGAGCTCCGGTTGAAGTTGAGGTAACCTAGGACTCCAGTTCTCTACAACAATGGGTTACTGTGCTCCATACTGCAGGATTCGCCAGCTACTCTTTAGGCAGCCCGAGCTCTAAGGGCACCTCACTAGCGAAAGTCCTCCCAAGAGCTTCGAAGGCACACTTGGCCCGGAACTCCCTCTCCAAAGCCCCAGCAAGAAGGCCGCCAACGCAACCGTAACCCCAAAACTTGGGACTTCAAAAAGCAGACTCGATGTAGGGGCCTTAAACTTACCTGTATCATTTTGGGGGTTCCTTATCATACTTACAGCATAATGGGCCCCAAACCCTATTCTAATGGTTAAGGTCCCTACATAAGGGAACAATGTAGGGGCCTTAATGGGTTCCTTACTATAGCTAGAGTGTACTAGGCCCCAAAACCCTATATTTTAATGATGGAGCCCTAAACCCTAAACCCTAAACCCTAAACCCTGAACCTGCAGTCTGTCTCTGAGACGTCGCTGCCAGGCCCTGCTGAAGGCCCAGAGACTCCTTGAGCCGGCCGGGGCCGCGGCCGGGGAGCTGGAGGAGTTGGGAACCGTCGCCTAAACCCCAAACCCGAAACCCTAAACCCTAAACCCTAAACCCTAAACCTGAAGCCGAAGAATCTAAGAAGTTCTCTGCCCCAAAACCCGACGAAGCCCGGAGATCGCACGCCCCAGCCCCTTTTGGCTGCGGCCTTTCCAGGAGTTCATGGAGGCTCTGGACCTCGCAGAGCCCCTACGCCGCAGAGTCTTTAGTGTGCAGAGACTAGATGGGTTTAGGGTTTAGGGTTTAGGGTTTAGGGGCTGTCAGATAAAACGCCCGCCACGGCCTCACAGCCAAAACAACCCGAGAGCTCTGCTCCCAGCAAAGACAAAGGAACCTGATCAGACTCCGAGGTTCCACGCTCCTCGCGCCCAGCGCTCCGCGGCCGCGGAGGTCGAGGCCCTGCTGGGAGCGCTGGGCCCGGCGCTCCGCGCGACGGCGGAGAGGAAGCTGGCGACGGGAGAAGTGCAGAAGGCAGGGAGCTCTCTGGTCAGACCCGGATGAGGAAGACCTGAAATCCGTGCTGGCAGCAGGAGCACCTGCAGCAGGAGTCGTAGTCGCAGTCGTCGCAGTAGTCTTAGTAGCAGTATTGACTCTGACAGGAGAGCTGGGTTCTAGTCTTCGGGGGGGAGCGCAGGTCGAAGCCCTCCTTGCGACCGTGGGCAGCGCCCGACTGGGAAGCTTGCAGCTCGCAGAGGTTCAGCAGGCCGTGGGCCCTTGCCTGCCGGGGGATGCCAGCGGCTTCGAGCCCGACATGAGTGGCGGAGGTGATGTGCTGAAAGCCAAGTTGGAGCCAGACCCTAAACCCTAAACCCTAAACCCCAGGGCCCTCCAAGCTCGCCGAGTTTGGATGCAAGAAGTTGCGCCGAAGAGAGGGGCCCCTATACTCAACTCGGAGTCTCTTAAGAGCCTCTCAGAGAAGAAGACCCTCAACAAAAACTTATAAGAGCGGTTTAAGCGCAAAGAGAGCATATCTAGGCATATTATATATGTATATACCTACATAGTGTATAAAAATATAAACCGAATAGCCCCACTGCGTCTTTTTTCCGCAGGAGGTGCAGCGGCTCCGTGCTCTGGAGCTCCTCGAGGCGCCGAGCGTCTTTTCATGGAAGCCCTCCTTTAGAGACGGGGAGACGGGGGAGAAGGAAGGGGAGAGTTTAGCGGGGTCGGAGATCAAGAGCGGAGATTTTCCGAAGATTTTCCGGTCAGCGCTGAGGCTTTGACTTCCAGCTGGAGGGGAAGTCTAAACAAGCTCCCAAACGGAGTAGATAACTTCATGCCGTACTTTAGTTCTACGCATGGTAACACCGTCGTAACCAACTCCATACCCCTCTAATCCCTAAAAACCTTAAGCCCTAAACCCTAAATCCTCTGAAATCTTAACCCTAAACCCTAAACCCTAAACCCTAAACCCTAAACCCTACCAAACCACGTAGAGGAGGCCCTAGGCCCCCACCTCATGGCAGGCGGCGCTCTCCGCGGACTCCCTGCTGCCTCTCGGCGGTTTCTGGGGTTGAGGGCATGTGGGAGTTTCCGAAAATAGGGGGTACCTTATTTTGGGGTGCTTATTATAAGGATCCTACTATTCGGGGTACCACATAAGGGTCCCTTATTTTCGGAAACCCTCATGTAGGTTTATGGGCGGGTTAAGGGCGCCTTACTTAGGACGTATAGGCTCATGTTAGGGGGCGTGTTTTTTTATTTTTTATTTTTTTTGTTTTTTTGGGGTTTGGAGTTTTGGGGCTTGATGATGACTTTTTCACGTGGGCAACGACGATGGTCAGCTCATTGTCAAATATGATTTGCTCATCGTCCGGGAAGTTGTATCTGGGTAGTAAAGGGTCTTCGGATTTCAGGCTGTGGATGTACGCTTTGGGGCTCTGGTGGCTTATGTTTTGGGGTTTCAAGCTTGTGGTTCGGAGTTGAAACTGGCAGCAACGGCGACGGCAGAGGCAAAAGTAGGCTCGAAACCAAAGGGGATAACCCTGAGAACAACTCGGAGATCCTACGGTGACAGGACCAAGGAGACCCCAAAACCTTAAGTCGCCAAGCACACTTGGAGGATCATGGGACTTAGTAAGGTTATAAGTCCCCTAATTGGGGTTATAAGTATAGTTACCTCAATTATAACCCTACTTACTAAGTCCCATGATCCTTTAAGCAACCTACACCGCCAACGCCCGCCAGATCAGGGTGGGGTCTTTGGAGCAGCGGCGACGGAAAGTGCGACACGCCATCATGACCGTGAGTGCCTTGATCTGATGCAGGGTTTAGGGTTTAGGGTTTAGGGTTTAAGGTTTAGGGTTTAGGGTTTAGGGTTTAGGGTTTAGGGTTTAGGGTTTAGGATTCAGGATTACACTGCGATGCGCTACATCCTAGAATGTACTGAAGTATGCTAATATACTATAGTACAAAATAACACGCGACCATGTACACAAATGCTACAATGTACTAAAACACACTACCGTAGACTACAATATGATACCATATAACTAGACTGTATAAGTCATGTGCTAGAATATACTTCAACATGTTCTACTGTACCCTACTGTACTCTACTCTACTCTACTGTACTATAACTATACCACAACATATCCCATGACTCATGGGGAGATGTCTATTCTTTTCGGTTTGCCGGGGAAGGCGAGCTCTTCGCTGGGCTTCGGTTCACTTCGGAGAGTGCCTTGGTGGGTTTCGGGTTTCGGGTTCAGGG